ATTTATAGTTTCTATGTAATGACTTTTTAAAATTGTACTATTTTTGTAGACCAAAGACGATGAAACGGAGAGTAAGGGGAGAAAAAGTAAGGAGAAACACACACACACAACAACACACACGTGTATCACTTGACAATGGCACAAGCTGAATGATTGATTTGGTTTTTATTGTGCAACTGTCTCTGTCTCCCTGTTAGAAATCAAAAAGTCTCCAGCAGAGACAGCTAAGGAAGATGTCCAGGTCCTCCCAGAGGAAGAGGAGTACAAAGAGTATCTGAAGTCATTATTTGAAGTACTTGTACTGTTGGGAGAGCAAAGCATTCCTCCGACAGGGCCTGGTGATAGTAAGGAGGATGGCCTTGGGTCAAACAACTTTCAGGCCTTGTTAGAATATCGCATGAATCGAGGAGATGAAGTTCTTAAGAAGAGGTACGATGTGAATAAGGAGTGCTGCTCCTCAGTTCGGCTGAATCAGTTGATTGAGGTGTGGGAGAAATGCATCTACAGTAAGCTGGTGGAAGAAGTTAAACAAAATGGCTTTTTCTCATTACTTACTGATGATTTGGTCAAGATCTCAGGAGAATGGTACCTCCCGGCTTTTGTCCGTTATGTGGACCAGTCTAACTGCCCGCGGGAGAGGTTTGTTGGATTCTTGTCCTTTGAAGGAGATGGAGATGCCTTAGCAGAGAAACTTCTGTCTGAAATGACTGACAGATGGGGATTGGATATGGAACAGTGTAGAGGTCAAGCCCACTCCTGCTCTGGGACACATTTTAGTAAAATAAAAACATTTGCTGCCAAACTGATGGAGAGGTATCCAAAGGCAGTGCTCACACTAAGATCTACTTGTGCATTGAACGTGTCACTGGCGAAGGGTATGGCTTTGTCGGGGGTTCAGCTCGTCATGTCAACCCTCAAGAAGATTGAGTCATTCTTCAGTCAGTCCCCTTTACTGCAGTTGGAGCTGGAGCACGCTATTTCTATTTTCTTCCCAGACAAAGAGGAAAAGGTCAAAGAACTGAAGGAGATCTGTCAAACCAGCTGGACCAGCCGACACGATGCATTTGAGGTGGCCGTGGAAATTCTAGAGGCATTACTACTCTGTGTGGACAGCGTGCATGACAACGAGGATATGAGGTGGAACGATCAAGTCACGCACAACGCCTTAGAGATTTCAAAAGCTCTAGCTGATTTCGAGTTTGTCATGGCGCTGGTCGTGCTGAAAAACACCATGACACTGACACGAGCATTTGGGAAGAACGTGCAAGGGAAAGCGACAGATGCCCACTTTGCTGCAACCAGTTTAAAAGCTGTATTGCACTCACTGAAGGAAGTGGCGGACAACACCGATGTGTATCACGAGTTCTGGAACGATGAGGCCGTTAACCTAGCCACTGCGATGGAGATCCCGGTGAAGGTTCCTCGCTCATTCTTGAGAAAGCATCAGTCAGAATCTGGAGCCATTCGGCCGGAGACTTACTACAAGGATCATCTGACTGTTCCCGTGGTGAACCACATCATCAAAGAACTGAATGAACTCTTCTGTGAGGACCACCTGAAGGCTCTGAGATGTCTGTCACTGGTCCCTGCTGTCATAGAGCAGCACAAGTCCACTGAACCCGAGGAAGAGAGCGTGCAAGTGTTTAAAAATGACATCCCTAATGCAGGAACCCTCTCCGCCGAGCTGCACTGCTGGTGGGTTAAATGGAGCAAGAAGGGCAAAGGTGAGACTCTGCCCTCCAGTCTCCAAGAAACACTGCAGCTGGCCGACGTGAAGTTCTTCCCAAACATGCTCGCAGTTCTGAGACTGATCGGCATCGTGCCTACCTTGGCTCTGGAAGACAGCTGCAATGTGGCGTACAAGCGCTTCCAGATGTACATGGAAAACACGCCCGACAAGTTCAAATCAACAAGTCTTGCTCTTTTGAATTTGAACTATGATGTTGGGTGTGATCTGGATGCAGTAGTTGAGATCTACATGAAGACATACCCAGACCAGGAGGAGGTGTCTTAGTCAGTAATGGTAGTTAAGCGTCCGGGACAGATGATCCACAGCTTATCTTGATAAACATCCTCCTTTAGTGTAGGTTTTTTTTTACTATCAGGTCCTCGTTGTGAAGTAGAATCTTTTAAAAGCTGTGTGTTTTTAATAAAATGTAGAATGTAAAAGAACAATAGACTTAACTACAAAGTGTCATTAATTCATTGATAAATTCCAGATGTTCATTTTGTTTTTGTTGTGCTTTTCCATGCTGTTTTCTGTCCAATCCTTCACTCTATTGTTGAAACAAGTAGCATTTATTTTGTTTTAAGGGTGGGAATTATGTAGTCATGTAAGCCTTGTTAAAGTGTCTTTACTGTGTCACCCAGCGTTCTGCAGACATTTAACAATTGGATAAGGGGGATCAGATATAAATCCCTCCCTGAACATGTTAATAAAGAGGCAGTCTCTTGGGTTTACTAAGGTTTTGTGGTCATCATTTTATATTTTAGTATTATTATTATTATTATTATTAGTATTATAAGTATTTTCCAATTTTATCTTAGCCCTGTTCTGAAGGTCTGTGACAAACTCAAAATGATCCAGAAACTGGTGTTTTTTGAGACGCTGAATGAGAAATGCAATTTAGATTCTTGTATTTATTTATTTAATTATTTATGTGCAGAATAAAACAAAAAAAATGACGATATGACGGCCAATTAGCACAAACCTAAAATATCCGTATTAGGGATGTATCCTGATAAATATTCACTAAGTGTTGAGTTCTGTTTGAGTTGTTTTGTGATAGATGTTGGAGATGAGGACAACATTAGTGTGAAGCTTTAAGTCTCTTTCTGGGAATAAGGCCAGCATTCTTGGATACACCCCCGTTTGACTAAACAGCCAAGTCATGGTCTGCTCTGAGACTCAAACTTTCACTATAGTGAAATCTGATTGATGATCATGATTGAAGACTAAAATCATTTGCCCTATGCACACTGTTTGCTGCAGTGCACAATATTAATATTGCATTTTCAGCCTTACATCCTTTTTTTTAACATATATACCAGGATCAAAGTTAAATTTTTGAGTTTGTTGAATTGTTTCTTGTTTCCATCCATTTTCTTTAGGAAGTTGATTTCCAATGGAAAGATTCTGCCAAGTGAATTGCTCTAATCTTCTACCTTGTGTATTAGAAGGGAGCTGTGTTGCTATCATCAGTTGTTTTTCTTCCATTTAATGAAATGTGACGAGGAATCGCATTATAACCCATCATCTGCAGCCAAAAAAACACAAATAACAATATATGCAGACTCATAGGTTTCTATCATTTGGATCCATTAGCTTTCTTTTGTATAATAAAGCCATAAAATGCCAAATGATTCAGTATTTGATTGAATTAAACCACTTTCACTGTAGGCATTTTCAATTAAAGCAGGAAAAGCAGAGCTGTGATGATATGTCATTTAAGTGTCCCAGTTCCAGGACCCTGAGCAAGATTGCTTCGGGCTATCTCCTGTATTTTATTTCTCCTGTTTATGTCAAACTCATTAATATAGTATATCTTTATATCAGACGTTGCATCCCCTAAAGGCACTGGCAAATAGACAGTTAGCAGTGGATGTATTTCTATGTCAGAAAACTATTTTAAAAAAAGACATCATTACACACTACACTGTAGGTTCTAGTCAGTATTTTCTTCCAAGACACATGGTAACAACAAAAAGCTAGTGCAAGGTGTGATTTAGGATAGGATCAGAGAGATTTAAATGGTCTACTGAAGAATGTGTAAGATGTGTATCCAGAGTTTATGGAGGGCATCAGTAAGAATAACATGAACCAAATCTGCTTTACAAAGTGTGAAGAAGAGGAACCTGCAAATCCAAATCAGAGAGTATAAAGTCAAAACAAGAGTAGTGCTGCAGTTCAAGGTACTGACAGAACTGTCTGTCAGAGGCTTCTGTTTAATGCTTGTGTAATGTCACTTATAATATAAGTAATGAATACTGAATGAGATTCTTAACTTAACTATGGTTGCCATGCAAAACAATTTAAATGAACATACACTTTGTCATTGTATTAACTTAGCAAAAAAGCAATACTAATCATTAGTTGTTTCAGCTTCACCAAAGCAAAGAGCTTTTTTTTGTATTTGTATAGTGGATGGCATATAAGTTGATATGTACATAAACATACATACAAACATAACATAAAAGTATATCTTGGGATATGACAAAAGGAAAAAAAACTAGCACAAACCAGTGGACACAATAGGGTCGGGATGATCTTGACAATGAAACTCTTTGGCCAGGCCTGACGGTGTCACTCTGCCCTCTGCTGGCCAACATTTTGTACTGCACAGTCCAGTTCCTGGTTGATGGGATAACACGCTTTCGGCGACTCTTGGCTCACCACGCAACATCAACTTTTGAAGCATGGAGTTAGTAGGCTCTTAGTTTGCCAAAGGGATATTAAGCGAAACTAACATTGAAACTGAACTGTGTCGGTTGCAGGTTTTGCCCAGGGCATGACTCTGTAGACTCTCCTGCAGGTTTTCTCACAGTAGGCTTGCCAGCTTAGCTAGCTAACTTGCTAGCTAGCTACATTGCAGTCCAAGATGACTGACTGCTGCGCCGCAGCGAACTGTGATTACCAGCAAGGGGAATCCGAAAACTCCACTCCACTTTTCAGCTTTCCGTTGGATCCGGAGCGGTAAGAGTTGTGCTTATTTCAAAGAGGTGTGGGTTAAAAAGGAGCCACTTAGCACGCAAAATGAATGTGTTAGCTATCCACTGTTAGCACTGGCGTTAGCTTAACATCATGTTGGCTAACAGTGACACAACTCTGTCGAAAATGGCGCAGACTAACGTTACTCTTCAAAGAAAAGTCCGTGTGAAATACTGTCCGTTCACTCATTCGGGATTAGAGACCGACACTGGTGTGTAATATTGGCTCTATCGTTTTATCTTGTGTGTTCAGCCATGCCACAAAACAAGAGAAACCATAGTTACAAACTTTTTGTACTGTAATATAAATCGCCATCGGTACACGACACCTACCGTCTCGATAGTGTGGTAACGTTAGTAGGAGGACTGACGTTAGCTTAGCAAAATAAAAATACCTCCCACTGATAGTGCTATTTGTGTTAGTGTGTCTGTTGCTCACCAACCTGCGAACATTACACGTTAATTTTTCAGCACAGTTCATTGTGAACAATATAAACTGAAACTTACATTTAGGTAGTTTGAACAGGTGATGTCCCTGTGGATAAACAGCAGTCTAGCGCCTCCCTTTTATTCTGCTCTTACCTCTCGACTGGCGCTGTTTTTCACTTTCACACTCCTGTTGTATTGAGCAGAGTGTTATCCTGCTTTACAACAATTACGTAAATTAATTTAAGGACCGTAATTGAATGAGAGATGCAGTTCAGCTGGCTGTATCACAGTAATGTATGGACAGGAAAGACTGATGGATCACAGGGTGTCAGAAATGAAGTATTTTGATAGCGACTTTTGCTCTGTGTGACACCCACCGTATATCCTGATATTGTGTCGCATTTAGAGCAAAGTAAATCGTATTTGCTTGTGGGAAAATCTACCCATTCTTATTCTGTTATTCAGAAAGAGAAAAGAAAAAGTATAATGAAAGAATTAGCATTGACCAACACTGAAGCAGGCTGTGTTAACTAAAGCAGAATAGTATCAGTGGGTGTGCTAAAGCTATGCAGTTGTTGCAGACATGACCTCTTAAAGCATAATAGCACAGCATCTCTCGAGAACAGTTGTGTATTTGTCCAATATTTGATCTTGCATTCGCTCAGTCTTTCAACATAGCAATTGGCAGTTTTAGCCTATACAGTGGTTTGGATTAATATAACAGTAGTGATATAGTTTCTCTCTGAAACATTAATTCCCTGTTTATTTTTCACACAATATGTAAGCATGTTGAACTCTAAGACGAGAATAAGTTGTTACCTAAATATTGTTGCTATTAGTGAATTTTTGTTTCTCTAATCTAATGTATCATGACCTTTCTAACTAAACCAAGAAAGTAGCATAGCTTAAGCAGTTCAATTACTGTCCATACTGTATCATGTAGACCTACTACTAAGGTGGCATTGTAGTAATGTAAAGAGCTGCTATGCTCATCCATGTTAAACTGGCACATCAGAATGAATAGTTTACATGGAATTAAAGCAAACTGTAGAACTCCTGTCTGTTTGTCCAGTCAAGTGTTTGCACTGATGCCTATTTTAATCATTAAGTCTATGGTTGTGATCCCAACAACTTGTGCTTTTTTCCTCTTGTACTTTTCAGCTGCAAACAATGGTTGAACAACTGTTGTCGCCAAGATTTGGCATCAGAACCCCCTGAACAGTTGAATAAGCTGTACAGACTTTGTGCAAAACACTTTGAGCCTTCTATGATCTTTCAACAGGTAAGAAGCAAATCTGTTGCTCATTAGTATTAGAAACACATCTGTGAAATCAATCAATCAATCAATCAATGTGATGCAGTCCAATAAGTTGTATCAACCCATTCTGATGCTGTCAGCAAAGATGTTTGAATGTGTACCAAGCCGAGATGTAACTCAATGTATTAACATAAAATGTTGTTTTTCGTTACTAATATGGATGTGATTTGGTTTTAAAACAACAGAAATACTTTGCTTAATTAGACAATTTCTTAATGATTACTTTTTGTGTCAATAGTGGTTTTGTTTTGTTTTCAACACTTGAGTAACCATTCCTTAATCTCAATAACACATGTTGTGAACTTGTCGGTGGGAAATTCCTTACTACTACGTAGAATGTTTACTGTAATCATAAACGTGGGATCTACTGCTATTTGTTTTTCAGAGCGCCTCCAGTTGTGTCTTAAGGGAAGATGCTGTTCCAACAATATTTGACTTAATGCCTGTGAATAATCAATCACCCTGCAACAGAAAACGAGCTAGAGATCCTGTAAGTGTTTCATTCAATGTTTAAAATCACTCTACTTAACATTTTTCATCAGACAATAAAACACTATAAATACAAAAAAAAAATTGTAATTATCCTTTCCATTTAACCAGTCGGAAGAGGAGCCTACCTCTGTGAAGAAAACAAAAGGTACAGTAACTGGTTCAATTCATTCTTCAAACAGCCTCTTATTTATGACTTTTCCTTGACTTTTAGTCTACATTTAGATGTTCTAGCCCTTGTTGTAAATATTCACAAATATTTAAATGATCTCAACCTTTCAATTAGTTATTTTCTCTTTCTCGACAGAAAACACAACAACAGCAGAAGTCACAGAGGAGACGAGAGAAGCATCTGGGGAGAACAGTGCCACGCCTCAACTGCAAAGAGATATACAAACCCACGAGGATGTAGCCAGCTCCAAAGCAAAAGAGACTCTGAAAGTCTATTTCAAGGAAATCCTGGCACTGACTGGATTCAGCATCAATGGTGCAAACACTGATGAGCCGATTGGAGGTGCAAG